ATATATATATATATATGGGTTAGGGTTACTCATTCATATATATATATATACACACACAAGGTGGGCCATTTATAATTTATATGGATACACCCTAAAAAAATGGGAATGTTTGGTGATATTAGCGTCTTGTTTGCAGCACATTAGTATATGTGAGGGGGCAAACTTTTCAAGATGGGTGGTGACCATGGTGGCCATTTTGAAGTCGGCCATCTTGGATCCAACTTTAGTTTTTTCAATAAGAAGAGGGTCATGTGACACATCAAATGGAAGGGCATCCACTGCGTAAAACATTTGCTGGATAGGTTTGTGGTTCATTTTTGATTAATAAAGGGACTTAGCCAAAAAAAAAAAAAAGATGAATGAATGAACGTTATGCAAAGCATCTATACATTATTAATCATTTTAGGCATAACATTGAAATGTGTGACGAATTAAAAACTTGCATACATTATTCATAAAATACACTTAAGATTTAGTATAGAAATTATTTTAACTTACAAACTGCAAGATTGGACAAACAAATAAGTGGCAAGCCACAAAAAAAAAGTTAAACGAGATCCACTAATTAAACTAAATTATATTCATTTATTCATTCAGTTTCTTTCTGCTTAGTCCCTTATTCATCAGAAGTCGCCACAGTGGAATGAGCCGCCAAGAATTCCGGCATATGTTTTATACAGCGGATGCCTTTCCAGCTGCAACCCAGTACTGGGAAACACCCATACACACTCATTCACATTCATACACTACGGCCAATTTAGCTCATCCAATTCCCCAAAAGCGCATGCGTTTGGACTGTGGAGGAAACCGGAGGAAACCCACGCCAACACTGGGAGAACCAATGACTGTAAAAAATATGGACGACGCGACAGCCCCTTTTGCCATTGAACGCCTTGAGGGCAAAACGCCTGCTTGACGGGCACAAACTGTCGCAAAAGACTGCTGAAATTGGAGCCAGACATGCGCAGAAGGACTGTCTGATGGAGCCAGAGGAGGAGCCGCGATAATGAGCGGAGTCGAGCTTCCAACCAAACGCTTTATGTAAAATCAACCACGCCCCCCGAACTTCTCACTCGACTGCCGGTGTCTGCACTATAACAAACGCTCACTGATGTAAACATAAGCACTTACATTAAAAAAACACAATAATATACGGTTTAAAAACGGTGTGATGTAAGCTGTTAAACTTTAATAAAAGCAATACATGATGGACTGCAGAAATAAACGATCTTTTATACACTCTAGCCTGAATATGAGCACAAATAATATATTCTCTTATTGTTATATTTGTTGTTGGTATTTGTTATCTTCATAGGGGTAGAAATAACACTTGTAAAATATGAACAATAACATATAAACAACACATACATTTTTAGAAAGGTTTTTATTTTTAATTAGCCATCAACAGAACCCAAAATATAGCCTACACACCATAACGATTTACCATGCGGGAACAATCGTGCGTTTAGAAGATAAATACAGCAAGATTACTAAATATCAACAGGATATTTACACATCCCAACCCTGCAATTTGTCAATTTGTGCAAAAAAACTTTGCACTATTAATACAACGTCTATCTGCTGTAACATCACTATTGTTTATTCATTTTCGCTTGAATTGTTTATTTATTAAATTTTTTTGCCTCCGTTTTCATTTGGTTTATTCGATGCCTTCATTATATCTGGCAACGAGGAATTTACATTCATTTTAATGTTAGCTGGAGTGTTCAAATAAAACGCCAACAGTAAATGATGTAAATAAATAATATCTAACATTTACAGCTCTATTAGGTTATATAAGATTCGATTTCAAGAACGTTATAATGATTTATAACAGCAAATTCAGTAGATCACTTAATAACATGCCAAAACTTAAAATGCAGAGACGTCCTATAAAGCAAGTTCAAATAACCTTACAGGAGATCAACGTGGAGATTATTATTTAAACACAAAGAGAATTACTGCTAACGATCTCCTGTATACCCCGTACTTAAATGGGTTTATTTTATTGTGCAGTTTTATTGTCATTTTCGTATTTATTATTATTATTATTTAATACTTGTGCAATCGATACAGGTTTATTGTTTTTATTTTGTCCTTTATTTAAATAATTGCTATGCTGTTTGCATCTTTATTCAAAGGTTAAACTCAGTGATACACTTTGCGTTCACATAGTAGCATGCGTTTGTTGTTATATCAACAAAAATGGGTGTAATAACGTTAACAAATGTGAGGGTTTTATATAATGAAGATTCAATCGCGCCAGCTCCGGGCATCAGCGCATAACCTAGTCGCGGCGTCGCGGGCTGATTCCGGCTCGCATGCGGCAGCGCCTGCTCGCTCGGCCCCCGCATCTGGCTCAATTGACTCAGGCTGGAATCGGGCAGTAAGTCCAGGCATCCGCAGTAGGTCCAGCAGAGGTAGTCAGTCTGAGGGGTAAGTCTCCGGCAGGCAAGAACTGGCCCCAGTGTATTTTGCTATCTGGGTGGCTAGGCGTGTATTAGCAAACTAATAAAGCCCGAAAAAAGCTCTGACCTTAGCGAATAAACAGTGTTCCACCAGATCATGTATGTCAGAAACTGTAGTTTACTGCTGAACTCATTTTGTCATAGTAAAATATCACAGAAATCGAGTAATAACACTTCAGTCTTCTGCCGAAGCTCAGACGCCGCGCTTTGAGAAACTGTCAATCACAGCTGTCAATCACGATGACACGCCCAGCATTAAATTACTGCTAAAAACAAACTGTTTACAAAAATGAGGATCTGCACCTATTTCAGCACAATAATCAGTGCCTTAATCGACCAGAACCATCTTTCGGGACATTTTATTGCAAGTGTAATTAATTTTTTTATTTGGGCTCAAGTCTCCTTCATTAACACGGAGGAGGCGGGCTTTATGACTTGTACTGCAGCCAGCCCCCAGGGGGCGATCTAACGGCCGAGACCTTCACTCAAACGCAGGCTTGCGGCACACTTGGGGAGAACATGCAAACTCCACTCAGAAATGAGTCCAACCGGGACTCAAGCCAGTGACCTTCTTGCTTTGAAGCGACAGTGCTAACCACTGAGCCACCGAGTCACCCACTAAATTAAATATCAATGTCAATAAAAAGCATTGCACATATATAATATATAGATATAATCTTCAAATCCCTACTGAAAAAAACAGCTTTAACCAGCCTAGGCTGGTTGGCTGGTTTTAGCTGGTTGACCAGGCTGGTTTTAGAGGGGTTTTGGCCATTTCCAGGCTGGTTTCCAGCCATTTCCAGCCTGGTCTTAGCTGGTCAGGCTGGGAGATGACCAGCTAAAACCATCTTGACCAGCCTAGCCAAAACCAGCTATGTTCAGCTTAAACCAGACTGGTTAAGCTGGTTTTAGCTGGATTTAGCTGGTCATTTTCCAGTCTGACCAGGAAATGGCTAAAACCCCTCTAAAACCAGCCTGGTCAACCAGCTAAAACCAGCCAACCAGCCTAGGCTGGTTAAAGCTGTTTTTTTCAGCAGGGATATCTCCATATTGTTTTCTCTCTCTCTCCTATAAACAACAAATCCATCAAAACACAGCACACTCTTTATCTTTTTACATACATACATTTACATACATATCTACATGAGATAAATATATGTGCTATTCTATACTATCAACATGCAACCAAACATTCTTCAGTTTCCCTCCTCCTGCTAAACAGAGCAGTGGTGTTTATCTGAGGCTTCGACAGCTCAAGTCTCACCAAAGGCCTTAAAAGGTGTTTAATGAAGAGATTGTTGTCATCTAGAAGATTCTTATCTCTCTGTAGAACTCAGCTACTCATCCAGACTCATTCCTAAACAACAAATGAAGCATGCTCCTCTCGCTAGCACTGATGCAAGTCATGTCGCACATTAGACTGCTCTCACAATAATCAATACAGATTATAAGCAAAAAGCTACTGCTAGTATGCTGCTACTATGTTTAGCTAACATGGATTAGCTTGTTGCTGCTATGTTTATCACATTGTTTGCATGAATTAACATGTTATCAACATGTTTAGCATGAGGGATGCAAGGTTAACACAGTACAAATATGGTTAGCTGATTAGCATGGCTAGCAAAGTCATTGTGAATTTGCTTTTATGGCATGTAGCTAACATGTTTTAGCTGCTGTTACCATGTTTTTAACATCATCATTATTTAGTTTGCTGCTACCATGTTTTCCTTACTGCTATTATGAATTAGCTTGCTGCTACTATGTTTATCACATGGTAACGTGTTTAGCATGATGGTTGCAAGGTTAACACTCTACAAATATGGTTAGCTGATTAGCATGGCTAGCATAGTCATTGTGAATTTGCTTTTATGGCATGTAGCTAACATGTTTTAGCTGCTGTTACAATGTTTTTAACATCATCATTATTTAGTTTGCTGCTGCCATGTTTTCCTTACTGCTATTATGAATTAGCTTGCTGCTACTGTGTTTATCACATGGTAGCATGTTTAGCATGAGGGTTGCAAGGTTAACACTCTACAAATATGTTTAGCTGATTAGCATAGCTAACATGGTCATTGTGAATTTGTTTTTATATCACATGGCTAACATGTTTTAGCTGCTGTTACCATGATTTAACATCATTATTTAGAATGATGCTATCATGTTTACCATATTGCTATTATGAATTAGCTTGCTGCTACTATGTTTAACACATTGTTTGCATGAATTTTCATGTTGGTAGCATGTTTAGCATGAGGGCTACAAGGTTAACACACTACTAGTATGGTTAGCTGATTAGCATTGCTAACATGGCCATTGTGAATTTGCTTTTATAGCACATGGCTAACATGCTTTAGCTACTGTTACCATGTTTTTAAAATCATCATTATCAAGTACGGTGCTTCCATGTTACCATATTGCTAGCATGAATTAGCTTGCTGCTACTATGTTTATCACATTGTTTGCATGAGCTAACATGTTATTAGCATGTTTAACATGAGGGTTGCAAGGTTAACATGCTACAATTATGGTTAGCTGATAAGCACGGCTAACATGGTCATTGCGAATTTGATTTTATTACACATAGCTAACATGTTTTAGCTATTGTTAATCTACCATGTTTTTAACATCATCATTATTAATATGCTGCTACCATGTTTACCTTATTGCTATCATGAATTAGCTTGCAACCACTTTGTTTATCACATTGTTTGCCTAAATTAACATGTTGGTAGCATGTTTAGAATAAGGATTGCAAGGTTAACACACTACAAGTATGGTTAGCTGATTAGTATTGCTAACACAGTCATTGTGAATTTGCTTTTATAGCTCATGGCTAACATGTTTTAGCTACTGTTACCACGTTTTTAACATCATCATTATCTAGTATGGTGCTTCCATGTTACCATATTGCTAGCATGAATTAGCTTGCTGCTACTATGTTTATCACATTTATTGCATGAGCTAACATGTCATTAGCATGTTTAACATGAGTGTTGCAAGGTTAACACTCTACAAGTATGGTTAGCTGATTAAAATAGCTAACATGGCCATTGTGATTTTGCTTTTATAGCATGTAGCTAACATGTTTCAGCTACTGTTGCCATGTTTTTAACATCATTATTTAGTATGCTGCCACCATGTTTATCATATTACTAGCATGAAATAGCTTGCTGCTACTATGTTTATCTAATTGTGTGCATGAATTAAAATGTTGGTAACGTGTTTAGCATGATGGTTGCAAAATTAACAAGCTACAAGTATGGTTAGCTGATTACAGTCATCGCTAACACAGTCATTGTGAATTTGCTTTCATAGCATATGGCTAACATGCTTTAGCCACTGTTACCATGTTTTTAATATCATAACTATTTAGTATGCGGCTACCATGTTTACCATATTGCTAGCATGAATTAGTATGCTGCTACTGTTTATCACATTGTTAGCATGAATAAACATGTTGGTAGCATGTTTAGCATGAGTGTTGCAAGGCTAACACAATACTAGCATGATGAACTGATTAACATGGGTAAAATGGTCATTATGAATTTGCATATTCCTACCACATGGTGAATATGTTTCAGCTACTGTTAGCTAGCATGTTTAACCATTTGCATTTAGTAGCGTGCAACTACCATATTTCCAACATTACTAACATGAATTAGTACACTGCTACCGTCTTTACCACATTTTTCGAAAAATTAGCATGATGCTACGATGGTTAGCACACTGCTCGCATGCTTAGCTAATTGTTAACATCTATTCAATATGTTTATCATGTAGCTATCATGGATTTGCATGTTGCTAGCATATTTATACCACATGGCTAATATTTTTTAGCTTATGTTAGCATGTTTTTTAACATATTAACATGTTCCAGGTTAATTACCTTGCAAAACATAAGTCCCTACTATAATAAAGCACACCTAACCAAGTCTTTGGACAAGAGAGTGTGACGAGGAGCAGGATTATACTCACTTCATGATGAGGATATAGACTCCATACATAGAGATGAGAAGCATAGATTCCCACCTGTAACAGTACATCATAGCATTCAAAGATTAGCATTCAACCACCACAATATAAGAAGATATTCACTTTCTAATGCTAACTTACCACACAACTCTTTCATCAAAGATAACCTACAGCAGAAGATAAACAGAATAAGAGTAGAGCTACTATCTTCATGGCTTAAGATTGTATTGTACATACACAGACACACTGACCAGAATCAATGCCAATACTGAGAAGATGTAGTACAGAGAGTCTCTGAACAGGGACCACCAGGTAAGGACCACTGTCTAGGACACAAATGAATATATATTACGTGCATACAGTATATTACTGAATAAACACTCACTGTAGTGTTATGAGTGGCCAATAATAAACTTATTTACGTGCTATTTGTGTTCAGTGTGATTCCAAAATGAACTGGCTAAAATTTTAGGTGTGCCTCTTTTAATTAGGGCAGGGCTATCAGCCATTTGGGGAAGGGCTATCAGTCCTTTAGGGCGGGGCTATCAGCCATTTGGGGAAGGGCTATCAGTTATTTAGGACTGGGCTTATCAGTCCTTTAAGGGCCTGATTATCAGTCATTTAGGGCAGGGCTATCAGTCATTTAGGACGAGGCTGTCAGTTACTTAGGGCGAAGCTATCAGTTATTTAGGGCGGAGCTAGCAGTTATTTAGGGCGGGGCTATCAGCCATTTAGGGGGGGCTATCAGTCATTTAGGGCAGGGTTATCAGTCCTTTAGGATGGGGATATCAGTCATGTAGGGAGGAGCTATCAGTCATTTAGGGTGGGGCTATCAGCCATTTAAGAAAGGCTTTCAGTCCTTAGGGGCGTGTTTATCAGTCATTTAGGGAAGGGCTATCAGTCCTTTAGGGCGGGGCTATCAGCCAGTTGGGGAAGGGCTATAAGTTATTTAGGACTGGGCTTATCAGTCCTTTAGGGCGTGATTATCAGTCATTTAGGGCAGGGCTATCAGTCATTTAGGACGAGGCTGTCAGTTACTTAGGGCGAAGCTATCAGTTATTTAGGGCGGGGCTATCAGCCATTTAGGGGGGGCTATCAGTCATTTAGGGCAGGGTTATCAGTCCTTTAGGATGGGGATATCAGTCATGTAGGGAGGAGCTATCAGTCATTTAGGGCAGGGCTATCAGCCATTTGGGGAAGGGCTATCAGTCCTTTAGGGCGGGGCTATCAGCCATTTGGGGAAGGGCTATCAGTTATTTAGGACTGGGCTTATCAGTCCTTTAAGGGCCTGATTATCAGTCATTTAGGGCAGGGCTATCAGTCCTTTAGGGCGGGGCTATCAGCCAGTTGGGGAAGGGCTATCAGTTATTTAGGACTGGGCTTATCAGTTATTTAGGGCGTGATTATCAGTCATTTAGGGCGGAGCTATCAGTCATTTAGGGCGGGGCTGTCAGTCATTTAGGGCGAAGCTATCAGTCATTTAGGGCAGGGTTATCAGTCCTTTAGGATGGGGATATCAGTCATGTAGGGCAGGAGCTATCAGTCATTTAGGGTGGGGCTATCAGCCATTTAAGAAAGGCTTTCAGTCCTTAGGGGCGTGTTTATCAGTCATTTAGGGAAGGGCTATCAGTCCTTTAGGGCATGGCTATCAGTCCTTTAGGGTGGGGATATCAGTTATGTAGGGAGGAGCTATCAGTCATTTAAGACGGAGCTTATCAGTCCTTTAGGGCGGGATTATCAGTCATTTAGGGCAAGGCTATCAGTTATTTTGGGCGGAGCTAGCAGTCATTAAGGGCAGGGCTAATAGCCATTTGGGGAAGGGCTATCAGCCATTTAGGGCGGAGCTATCAGTCATTCAGGGTGTGCTTATCAGTCCTTTAAGGAGGGGCTATAAGTCCAGTAGGGTGGGGCTATCAGTGTGTGTCTCGTTCTGCTCTGAATGCGTCCATTCACCAATTTTCCTTCATTTTGATAGCAACGCCTGTCTTTCAGCAACCCAATCAGTTCCCAAAAAGTTAAATCATGCATTTTTTTTCTCAATTCAGGACTGTTTCAAGTGGATGTACATCACGACAGTGGGAAAAATTGACTATATAATACAGGGATGGGCAAACTTGATCCTGGAGTACCAGTGTTCCTGCAGACTTTTGCTCCAACCCTAATCAAACACACCTGCCTGCAGCGGTCTAGTGATCTTGAAGACACTGATTAGTGTGTTCAGGTGTGTTTGACTAGTGTTGGAGAAAAAGTCTGCAGGAACACCGGCCCTCCAGGATCAAGTTTGCCCATCCCCGATCTAATCCAATCCTTTTTATGACGACTCTAATATTCTAATTTATTCAACAGTTACTTTTTTATGATTCTGCTCAAATCTAAGCTGAGAGACATGTGCATGATGATATGTGTATGCTAGGATCATTATATCTACCTGACGGGCAAAGATGCCACACACACCAATAATGACCAATATATTGAAGACGGCTGATCCAACTATAGTGCCAACGCCGACATCTCCCTTTGTGATGAACACACCTGCCAGTCAAGCACATGAATATGTTGGATATGATCACACACTGAATTATTTAACCATTTTTTTAAACCAATCTGTGGTATAAATCATAACATAATAATTCAAAGCCTCCAAATTTCCAAGAAAAGCATGCTTTACACAATTCTATATATGCCGTATATAAACAGGTCTATTATTATAAACATAAAAACATTCACTTTCATCTCATGGTCCATGCGTGTTGTTTTAATAAACATCAGAATAACATATTATGTACAGACCCTACTGAAAAAAACAGCCTAAACCAGCCTAGGATGATTGGCTGGTTTTAGCTGGTTGACCAGGCTGGTTTTAGAGGGGTTTTGGCCATTTGCAGACTGGTTTCCAGCCATTTCCAGCCTGGTCTTAGCTGGTCAGGCTGGGGGATGACCAGCTAAGACCAGCTTAACCAGCCTAGCCAGGCTGGGAGCCCAGCCAAGCCCAGCGATGTCCAGCTTAAACCAGACAGTAAAGCTGGTTTTAACTGGATTTAGCTGGTCACTTTCCAGTCTAACCAGCTAAAACCAGGCTGGAAATGGCTGGAAACCTGCCTAGAAATGGCCAAAACCACTCTAAAACCAGGCTGGTCAACCAGCTAAAACCAGCCAACCAGCCTAGGCTGGTTTAAGCTGGATTTTTCAGCAGGGGATTCATTTATTTTGTGAAAACACATCAATCTGTCATCAAGGCAATTAAGATAAGACTTCTATAATGTATAAAATAATGGTCCGTTAGTTAATGTTACATCATGTATTTACTAATATGAACAAACATGCATTAGTAAATGCTGAACTGTCATTAATAAATCCTACACATGATTTTTCATAGTCAGTGTTAGTAAATACAATAACTAATACACCATTGTTTTAAAGGCAAATTACTTCTCGCATGCTCACATCTTACAGGTTATGAAATAATAATCAATCAAGCGTGAGTTTGAGGGTGAACTGACCAATTAAGGAAGTAAACAATTCAGGAGCTGAACTTCCTGCAGCCATGAAAGTCGCTCCGGCCACATCTTCACTCAGCTGCAGATTCTGATGAAGAGCATCACTATTAATCATGAGTTACAAGCAATGATGTGCTACTAACAATGCTTTCTTTAACAGTTCATGCCAATCCTAATTTAGCATGCAATTACATTTCCAAAAATATGACATTCAGTTCATACTTCAGCTTGCATGATTAAATGCAAGTCTTCTTCACAATGTATGAGCAGTTGAAAGCAGAAGTGTGCATACACTGTATAAAAGGCACATCACCATTTAAAAAGTCAGATGTTAATGTGACTAAACTTTTTCTCTTTTAGGTAAGTCAGGATGATCACATGTGTTTCTGTTCTGCTTAATAGCAGAATAATGAGAGAGAGATGTTGAGAAATTGTTATAACTCTTCTTGAAAGTCAAGTTTACACACAATAAGATTATTCTGCCTCTGAAAAAGCTCAGATGATGATGTCAAGCTTTTGGAGGTTTTTGATTGGCTAATTGACAACATTTGAGTTAATGTGAGGCACAACTGTAGAATAGTGTTGAAGGAAAAGCTCAAACACACTGCTTCACTGTGTGACAACATGGGAAAATCAACAAGCCAGAATCAACAACAAAGCCAGATTACAATGAGCTAAATTACACTGGGAAAAAGACTAATATTGGAGACATGTGCTGTGCTCTGATGGAACTAAGATTGAACTGTTTGGCCATAATGACCATTTGGAGGACAAAAAGGAAAGCGCACAAGCCTAGAACACCATCCCAACTGTGCAGTATGGGGGCGGCAGCATCATGCTGTGGGGCTGTTTTGCTGCAGGATGGACTGGTCCACTTCACAGCATAGATGGCATCATGAAGAAAGAACATTATGGAGAAATACTGAAGCAACATCTCAAGACATCAGCCAGGAAATTACAACTTGGCCACAAATGTGTCTTCCAAACAGACCATGACCCTAAGCACACTGCCAAATTAGTGAAAATGTGCTTTAAGGACAACAGAGTGAATGTTTTGGAGTGGCCATCACAAAGCCCTGATCTCAATCCTGTAGAAAATTTGTGGGCAGAGTTGAAAAAGCTTGCGCAAGCAAGACAGCCAACCAATGTGACTCAGCAATTCTGTCAGGAGGAATGGGCCAAAATTCCTGCAAACTATTGTGAGAAGCTTGTGGAAGGAGACCCAAAACACTTGACCAAAGTTATACAGTTTAAAAGCAAAGCTAAAAAAAAACATCAAGGAAATCTGTGTAAACTTTTGACTGTCTAGAAATGAATAACAAAATCTCAAAAAATAAAACCTCTCATTGTTCTGGCATTTAGCAAATGTCAATCATTTAGGTAATCCTAACGGAAATAAAAGAGTAAACATTTAGTATGATTTACCATCAGACATTTAAAAAAAAAACTTTTTTCACTGGTTATAAAAGGTAGAACAAGCCAAAAACAATAGTACTCAGCTATATACTTTTAATAATGTTAAACTGGTTTAACGTGGATTAATTAGATTAAAACTCTTACCATTTAATTAGCAGTGCAGTAGCTGATATTTAAACAAATGGCTGGTATTTAATTATTATAAATAAAAAATCTTGTCTCGTGCAGTTAGAAAGCGTTTGTTTGCCGTGAGAATCGACTAGGATTGATTTACAAATCCTCAGCAAATCCCAGTTCCTAAAGAGACTCGAACAAAAGGAAATTTCCCAGAAGGATGCGCACTTTCCAACGCGGACGCATTAATTAACACTTTACCCAGAGTTCATGCACACAGCACCAGTGCGCACTCCTGGGAGAGCCGGGAAACAAGGCTGTCATCGCTTCATTTTATGATGGATAGCAGAAGTAATGATCTGTCGGGTGAAATGAAGACAGGCGGCTCTGAGACTCACCTCTGAGATCTTCTCCAGGGACGGCACGAAATAATCATCGCAAACAATAGCCAGAGCGTAGAACATGTAGATCGCCTGCGACCAGAGGACAGACAGATGTTCATACCGGGTAGCTACAGTACGTACAACTTCAAATCAGAAGCAGTATGGAAAACGCAGCTAAAAAAGAAAGGAGTGATTTCCAAATTTGCTTCGACTCGTATGTAATTGCAGACAGCATGAACATAAAATATTTCATGCTGTGTCTGGTCAACTTTATCTCATTTGTAAATATACTTTCATGTCATTCAGACCCGCAATAAACTCCGAAATAAGTTGGGACAGGAGTGGCTTAGGGCTAGTCATCAGGTAAACTGGTTAAATAATGTTGTGATTATTGTAATTATGATTTGAAAGCAGCATCCAAGAAAGGTCTAGTCGTTCAGGAGCAAAGATGGGCCGAGAATCACCAGTTTGCCAATGAATACATGAGAAAATGATTGAAATGTTTAAAACAGGGGTCACCAACATGGTGCCCGCGGGCACCAGGTAGCCCGCGAGGACCACATGAGTTGCCCGTGGGCCTGTAATAAAATTAGCTTACCATAGCACCACATACCAGTAAGTTGCATCTAATATTTTTTGTAGCTATTCTTTTTAAATCACACTTGCATTGGTTGATACTGATCTGTTTCCAATCATTGTTGACAACTATTGTGAGACATTAACATGATCAGCGTCTTCAAATAGATGAATATCATTAATTATCAATGACATATAATTAAAAGTAAATTGAGCAACTTTGTTATTAGGAAGTGTGTGTCAAACTGGCCCTTCACATTAAACGATACCCAAGAAGTAGCTCTCAGTTTCCAAAAGGTTGGTGACCCCTGGTTTAAAACAATGCTCCTTACAGAAAGATAGGAAGACATTTGGATATTTCACCTTCAACAGAGCAGAACATTAATTAAAAATTTAAGGAATTTCAGTGTGTAAAAGACAAGGCCTCAAGCTTAGGCTGAACAACCGTGCTCTCAGACTCCTTATCAAGAATCAAGAATCCTAATTCATCTATGAGCCATAGCACCACATGGGCTCAGGACTACTGCGGCAAACCTTTGTCAAGTATCATAATAGTTAATAGGTAGTTACATCCGCAAATGCCAGTTAAAACTGTGACAAAAGGAAGCCCTATGTTAACAGTGTCCAGAAGCGTTGTCGACTTCTCTGGGCTTGAAGGCATCTGGGATGGACCATCCCACAGTGGAAACCTGTACTGTGGTCAGATGAATCGGTATTTCATTCATTAATTTTTCTTTCGGCTTAGTCTCTTTATTTATCCGGGATCACCACAGCGGAATGAACTGCCAACTTATCCAGCATATGTTTTACACAGCGGATGCCCTTCCAGCTGCAAACCAGTACTGGGAAACACCCATATACACTCATTCAAAAGCATACACTACGGCCAGATGGATGGATGGATGGATGGATGGATGGATGGATGGATGGATGGATGGATGGATGGATGGATAGATAGATAGATAGATAGATAGATAGACAGACAGACAGACAGACAGACAGACACATAGACAGACAGACAGACAGACAGACAGACAGACAGATAGATAGATAGATAGATAGATAGATAGATAGATAGATAGATAGATAGATAGATAGATAGATAGATAGATAGATAGATAGATAGATAGATAGATAGATAGATAGATAGATAGATAGACAGACAGATACATAGACAGACAAACAGACAATAAGACAGATAGATAGATAGATAGATAGATAGATAGATAGATAGATAGATAGATAGATAGATAGATAGATAGATAGATAGATAGATAGATAGATAGATAGATAGATAGATGGAGAGACAGATAGATAGATAGATAGATAGATAGATAGATAGATAGATAGATAGATGGATGGATGGATGGATGGATGGATGGATGGATGGATGGATGGATGGATGGATGGATGGATGGATGGATGGATGGATGGATGGATGGATGGATGGATGGATAGATAGATAGATAGATAGATAGATAGATGATGGATGGATGGATGGATGGATGGATGGATGGATGGATGGATGGATGGATGGATAGATAGATAGATAGATAGATAGATAGATAGATAGATAGATAGATAGATAGATTGATAGATAGATAGATAGATAGATAGATAGATAGATAGATAGATAGATAGATAGATAGATAGATAGACTCACACACAGCACGTGCAGTAGTATCGCTCCTCTCTTCCGCTGCTCTTTGGTAAAGACGTCCTCGGGGAACTCATGAATTGCTAATGGGCAGACAGACAGAATATGGACACAGAATCAGGAACTGTTAGACTTTCTGGATTTTTTTCCAAAAGCAATTTATGTGGATGTGTGACAGACAGCAGCATTCCTGACAGCAGAGTTCAGGCCATAGCAGAGATCCACAGACATGAATATGAACTTTAATAATGAGAGAACTCAACTATTAATAGCAGCTCATTACCATGCTAATGAAACTGTTATGCTCCACACTCGTGTATGTAAACACACACACACACACACACACACACACACACACACACACACACACACACACACACACACACACACACACACACACACACACACACACACACACACACACACACACACACACACTTTTTTTTCTCTTACTTTCTTCAATCTTTCTTTTCATATTAATTTTCAGTTTTTTCTCTTTCATTTTCTCTTTATTTTTTCTCTTTCTTTTTTCTTTTAATCCTTTCTTTTATTTTCTTATCATTTCTTAAATTTTTATCTTTACTTTTTCTTTTATCTTAATTTTATCTTTCTCTCTTTCTTTCTTTTAATATTTCTTTATTTTCTTTCTTTCTCTTTACTCTCTCTTTCTTTTTTTGTTTCCTATCTTTCATTTATTCTTTATTTTTTATTTATTTTCTATCTTTTATTTTCTTTCTTTTTTCTCTTTATGTTTATTTTTGTCTTTCTTTATTTTCTCTTTCTCTTTACTTTTTCTCTTTCTTGATTTTGTGTTTTTCTCTTGTATTTTCTTTTTTTATCTTTCTTTGTTTTCTCTTTGTAATATTTTTCTGTCTATCTTTCATTCTTTCTAAATTAATTTTTTCTCTTTCACCCTTTATTTTTAATCCTTCTTTCTTTTAGTTTTCCTCTTTCTTTAATTTTTATCTTTATTTTTTTCTAACTTTTATTCATGCTTTGTTCATTTATTTTCCCTTTCTTTCTCTTTGTTTTTTTTAATTCCTATCTTTAGTAATTTTTTTCTCTTACTTCTGTTTTATCTTAATTTTTTATCTCTTTCTATTATTTTCCTCTTTCTTTCTTGATATTTTTTCTCCATCTTTTTCATTTATTTCTTCCTTTTTCTACATTTCTTTATTTTTTCTTTTAATCCTTTTTTATTTTTCTTTCTCTTTCTTTCATTTTTATCTTAATTATTTTATTTTTCTTTCCTTCTTTCGTTCATTTTATCTTTTCATTTCTTTAGTCCCTTCTTTCTTTAATTTTATCTTTCTTTTCTTTTTCTATCTTTCATTAATTCTTCACTTATTTTTTCTATCTTTTTCTCTTTCTATTATTTTATATCTTTCTTTCATAAGTAATTTTTTTCTCTTTTTTCACTTAATTTTTTATTTTTCTTTCCATTGTTTCTTTCTTTGTCTTTCTTAATTTTTTTCTTTTCTTTATTTGTTTTTCTTTTTAATTATCTTTATTTTTTCTTTCTTTTTTGTTTTCTATCTTTCATTTATTCTTTCTTTGTGCGCTTATTTTTTTTTTCTTTTTCTTTAATTTCTATCTTCCATTTTGATTTATTTTTTTCTTTCTTATTTTTTTCTCTTTCTCTTTCCTAAATTTGCATCTTTATTTTTTTTCTTTTCAATCTGTATCTTTTATTTCTTTTTAAAACTTTCTATCTTCTTTTTATTCTTTCTTCATTGATTTTTTAATTGTCTTTCATTTCTTTCTTTCTTTCTTTCTTTCTTTCTTTCCTTCTTTCTTTCTCCTCACTTCTCATCTTTCATGACCCCTTCTCTCCTTCAGTCTTTATCTGTGTCATAAGGTCTCTCTCTCACTCTCCCCTCTCTCTCTTTTTCTCTCTCTCTATGCAAATCGCACTGAAAAAACAGCGTCCAATCAACGCCCCGACGAGTCGACTCAGCGGAGAAGGGTAATACTGCACAACTGGAGTGGCTGCACTCTCAGGACCGCATTTTTAGGACCGCATTTTTAGGACCGCATCTTTAGGACCCTAGTTTTTTGTGACAGCGTCACCTGTCGGATTGGATCATGGATGCGCTAATGGACGACACGGATGACAAGGAAAGTGTAAGTACCGATTTTTCTATTAAGTTTTATTTTATTTCGGCTAATGTGCTTAGTGACTCATGCATTAAACTAAGATGGTAAAAGCACGTTTGATGTAAGAGTTTCAGATTTATCTATATTTTACTGAATTCGTGTTATTCGTTGTATTACATTAGCACATTAAAAATTGTGCTGACTGCCTGTTAGCCCCACAATACTGTATGTGTTATTAGCCTGATGTTTTGTCATCGTTTTACAGTGATGAATGAGATTCTGAAAGTTAGGCTTATTCTGCAGGTCTTAACCATATAGAGTCTCATATCTTTAATTTATATCATCAGGTATGTTTTACCTGGCGAATAAGTGATGGCCAATATGATTGGATTGCTTAGGCTCATTGTAGGAGGAAAAGAAAACAAACTACAGGAATATTTTCATCGCAAACTGTTGAGTAACACTTTATAACATCTGCATACTATAAATAAATAATTATTAAGCATTTATAACTAGTTAATTTATTAATATTTTATTTGTTTAGCATTAACTCTACATTTAATAGACATTGATAAGCAGTTTATAAATACAGTTACAAATGCTAGCTGTGTTCTTGAGTTTATAGCATATCTATGATGAAGTGCAGCTTATCTGTGGTGTTCATTTTCCAGAGGAATGTCTGGCCAAATAAGTATATAAACTGCATGCTGGGTGCTACTCATTTATGAATCCATGTAAAATGATTTGCTGTTCTGTGGTGGTATTTTAGTTCATATTTAAATGATTTTTTTTTCATAGGCCATCGTACATCCTCTGGGTGTCTTGAGGAGCTGGTCTTTGGATAATGCTGAGCAGGTCTTTCTTTCTGGTAAAGATTATCATTACAGGTCAGAATATGGTTAATTTTGCACAATGCTCAAAGAGCCTTTTTGTTACTGGTATATATGTTAACTCAACAGTGATTGTTCTCTATTTCAGTGAAGTTAAAGAATTCAACAGACAGATTTACAAACAACTGACGAAAGAAGAGAGACGATTCAATAGGTGGGTATTGCTCTTATATACTTAAAAAAAAAATATATATATATATATATATTATAGCTAACACTGTAAAGCAAATGTTTGTTATTATACCTCTTATATTAAATATTAATCTAAATTTAATTTCATAACAATTGATTAACCTTTTGAGTTCATATACATTGTTTTACATATTCAAGAATATATATATTCATTCATTTTCTTTTTCGGCTCAGTCCCTTTATTTATCAGGGGTTGCCACAGCAGAATGAACCGCCAACTTATCCAGCATATGTT